CGGAACACGTAATATCAGCACCGTCTGTTAATATATTCAAAACGAGATTGGACCTCCACAGTATTACAAACTGCAAGGATTAATATAGGTCGACAGACCTCCTATCCTTATTACTGAAGACTGAAGACTGACTGCTTTGTAGCACATAACAGCGTGTGCAGCAAGAAGTCCCAATAAGCATCCACATCAAGTTGAGAGTGAACATCCCAATCCAACTGTTGTAGATAGTCCTGTAGAGCTGACACATTCAGCCGTTTGAAATTCCAGCGCCTGTTGCAAGTGGTATACCTTGGCTCAGTTTTGCTGACTAAACTAAAAGCTTTGACAGCGTGATCGCTATTCTCTAAGGGAGCCGGGTTCGAGAGGTTGTCACCTAGAAATTCTTCGTTTGTAAATACCTAGTTTAAGCGCGATGGTATCTGACTGTTTCTCCAACGAGTTGCCGACTTCACATTTTCGAATAATCCCAGATCCTCAATGAGGTTGAAGAACGGAGCTTCAGTTGAGTTTTCACTTCCAATATACGTGTGTTCCGCGAAATCGACTCTAGGGAGATTGGAGTCCCCTAGAATCAGGATATGAGTGAAACCGAGACGAGTAGAGCGGGATAGTCCGTCTAGCATACGACTGTCATACTTGATGTCGGCAGTGGGCTTCCTATAAATGATCCCGACTAGGTACATCGAAGTAGTAGACAATCTTGCTGAGCACCGTACGGATTCATCAAGATTGTTAAACCCATGGTTGTGAACTTGGTGTACCTCCAGGCAGAATCGTATGTATACCGCACTCCACCTTCAACTCCTGTTTTTCTGTCGTTGCGAAACAAACACATCCCAGGCATTGCTGGCTCCTGGTCCGTAAACTGAGAAGATATCCAAGTCTCAGATATTCCTGTCAGATGAGCCTTATTAACATTGCTAATTTCACGTAGTTCATCCATTTTATTTGGTAGACTCACGGCGTTCATGTATAAGCAGTTTATGCTTTCAATTTGAAGCGCATGAGCTTCTTCCTGTTTGTCTGTATGAGCCTTACGTGAATAGACAGGTACCCTACCTATATCAGGTTTGCCGAGTTGGAAAGCCCTGTTCTTTAGACGTTTTTTATGATCAAGAGAGTCCACAAGCGGAATGGTCAGCTCCAACTTGCCTTTGTACTTGATCCTGGCGGCATGTGGCCTATCCGGGTGCATATGGATTCCAGTTGACAACCAACGTCTGTTGGCACGAAATGCTTCTAAAGTTGCAACCGCCATATAATAATAATATATTTCTGCATGAGCAGGTACACACCATTTTTATAGGCATGATCTACAAATTGCAACATTTGTTGGCTCACAGCATGCGCCGCAACTTATTAAGTTTGTAGTTGTGGTAAAGTAGACTCGTAGAGCGCTTGCTGTAAACCATGACCAGAGGAGACGCGTACGTCAAATTCGTTCCAGACTTCAGAAGTTCCATAGCTGTGCCCTCAGAGCAAGACTCTGAAGAAAAAAAGAGAAACAGAAGAGCAACAACACACTTGGTTACGAACGCCAAACGTTGCTTAACACCTTGTAGTCAAACAGAGAGGTATAATAAATTAGATTAAATTCATATTATCTCTTGTTAGAGTGAAATGAAGTCAGAGGCTCTATATAAGAGAATGTAGTGATAAAGAACAATGAGTTGTAATGTTTAACAAGTCGAAGTAAGCTCACATGAAGTAAATGAAGTCATGAGTGGTACAAGGAAAGCGGCTTATTAGAAGGGAGTGTGCTTATAGAAGGTGGAGTGTTAAGAACACTAATGGCTATATCTTTCATCGTCCATTTTTTTCTTCCTTTTCTTTTTGTTGTCCTACCGATGACAACTAAACAACATGTTCTACTGTGCTACGATTTATCACACTAGACTTCGTCTCAGTGATTTGTCTGTAGTGTTTTTAGACACCAGTCTCATCCTAATGGCAGCAATCAGCCTCAATTCTGGCTGGTAATTAAACATACTTTGATCCGTTTCATCGCAAAAAACTTGGCATTGTAGATCACTTTCTTCACTATCATTAGTGTTCCTTCTGTTCATAGTCGGGACGAATTCTGTAGCACGCAACAGCAGGGCTACTAGACGAAATCGAATCACATATGCGTTCTCAAATGTCACAGTTCGTATGATATGGTATTTTGCGACAGTTGGTAACAAAAGCAAACTTATGCAGTTCTATCACACAAAACTATCTGCCAACTAGTTGGTGTGTCCGCATGAATACACTTTGCATGGTTCCACTGATTTGATCTTTTCACTAGCTCGTTCGTAAGCTGATATTGCAAACTATTGACCATACCTGCAAGATTGGAGTGAACTTCATGCGTAAGAAGTAAATAATTATTATCAAATTTACTCTTAGTCTTTGTACGACACAATATAAGATTATGATTGTGCACTGGTTACTCAATCATTGTTTTAACTTTTGATGTAAATCTGTATGTATGATCGTGTATTTGCTTCCAAATCCAACATACTCCCACATGTCGGAGGTTCACCTAATTTGTTGTATTTTGTAAACGAGTCTCTTCAATAAGATTGATGTGTTCAACCACTTGTCATATGTTCATGGCATCTCTTGATGGTAAACCAGCCAGATTCGACGTCAGTGATACATGTAGCCAAGAGCTCTTATCTGTATTTTTTCATCATACCTGATAGTAGATGAGTAACAAAGTAGGTATTTCTTTGATGATTCATCTGCATAAAAACGAAACTGACATGAGAAATCTTGTTGAGGTTGTTTATTTAGTAGTTCTAATACACACCGGTTGGTTTCAGTCGTGTAACAGCTTAGCTGACGCATTATTACCTCAAAGCCACCTAATTATTTCTTATATAGGCTGTTCCAACCAGATTGTCAGGCCGTCGCGTCGCTCAAATTTTTCAAGAGAACAAAGAATTTTATCAGTGAAGTGATATATCATGTCGAAAAAATAAACAGTGGGTTGTGTACACAAACTGTGATTGGCATTACCTTGTCAATGAACGATTTATCTGCAGTCAGTCAGCCACAAGGTAGGACCAGGCACATATATGCATCGGTCTTCATTAGCACAACAAGATGAACACCAAATTCATAGAAACAGATGTTTTATTGGTGGCAATATATGAAAAGATTTCGTATAATGATTTGATGCAGTGCGAAAGAATTACATCATAGAAAGAAAGGTATAAAGTAATCTCATGATTTAAGAGAAGATAAACAGTGTATACACCCACGTCATTGTAATCGATTCTGAACCATGTCACCAACAGTCTCCAACTATTGATGACGACAGTCAAGCGGACCAGAACCAAGTAGTTTGCATCTACCAACATGACTCAGACTAGAGGTTAGTGTCTTCAAGCACTGATGCCACGTTTTGGTTCAGCCGCCCCTAACTTTCTTCCATTTGTCTCCATTACTAGTCAGCATTGTGTGTCGTGGTAATCGGTGTTCAGGCATAGGTAATGCGTGGCCCAACCATCTCAGTCGATGAAGATTTACAACCTCATAAACTAATTTACTATCATTACCTAATACCATGCGTCTAACCTCACATTCACCTACCCGGTGATCCCAGAAGATGCCATCAATATTTCTAGGGAATCTGTGGTCAAATACTTGTAGCTTACAAGTATCATCAACTCTTAATGGCCACGTTTCGTAGCCGTAAAGTAAAACGGAATGAACTACCGCGCAGCATACCCGTCCTTTTATTGATAGGCGGATATCTCGCCTTCGCCATAGGTGACGTAATTTAGCAAAAGCCAAATGAGCTTTTCGAATCCATGCTGAGATTTCGTCAGACATCAACCCATTAGGGCTGGTTAGACTACAAGATAAGTGAAATTGCCAACGTGTTCGACTACTTCACTGCCTATCTTTGGTTCAGGTGTTGACGGTAGTACTGGAGCAACAACTTGCATTTAGAGGGAGAGAAGCGCATTCCAAACATTATGGCATTGTTGCTCAGTGCTACCAAAAGACTCTGCACTTTACCAGCGTCTTCACCAAACAGGACTATGTCATCTGCGTATTCTAAGTCGATAAGTGGACCTCCTGGATGGAGATCAATACCCGAGAATTCAGTCGATGTGAGCGTTATTTCCTTCAGTAAGTCTATGATGAAGTCGAACAAAAAAGGGAGAAAGTGGAAAGCCTTGACGTACACCACTTGAGGTTGCAAAAGTAGATGATAGTTCGCCATAAGCTCTGACTCGACTAGTAGTGTTTGGATAAAGAGCCTTCACGAGGTCTGTGTACTGAGGTACGCCTTTCAATCACAGACGCTGCCACAGCACATCGCAATCTGCTCATGTCGTTAATAACCCTGATGAAATTTCGTGAGCGACTCCGAGTTAAGTGAGCAGTATTTTAAGGTATAGATGCTCCCAGCTTGATACTGCAGCAGCACATATATGATTCTCAACCTTCCGATGATTTTATGCTTGTCTTAGCCCAAAATTTTGCACCATTATGGAAACCCTCAGTTAAGTTAATTGACATCGATATTTATACGTCTAGACCCGCTGAACATAATTCTGGATGAGGGACGAAGACAGTTTGTAGAGGAACATCTGATTCTCATAAGGTTACTGACCTCACTATTATCTGACCATTATTGTTTTCAATTAGATCCTCAGCAGGCTGATGAAGGTCGGAAATTATGAAGTATGATTAAATGTTCAAAGTAGTTTATATTTCATAATACACCTGACATACTACTAACACTATTGACCTGATTTAAGACATCTTTTTAAATTCTGAGTACAATATATACAGTTGGATCCCTAGTTCGTAAAACTTTATTACTATGAGTGACCATCAAACCAATTTTTCGAAGTCCTTTTACTGCTAAAAAACGATTCATGCTTTTGACCTGAACGAAAAAGCCTGAAGTGATTTCAATGTTCAATGTAACCTCTGCATTTTGTTTTGTTCAGCACATCAAGTTTTGAGGTACTTACTTGTATTGTGGTGTTGGTATTGTTTTAATTCAGTATACCATATATCTAGAAGTCCATAATTCATTTCTTAGTTTCATTGACGTATAGGTTAGGGATATGTATTCAGAACTATCCACTGTAGGCCCTCACATTGATGTGTCTACGAATAACGGATCTTACCACTCAACAAGTCTTTTTCACATGGTACTTCGTTCGTATAATATAAAAACTTGAGGCTTATGAGCTGTAGGGCTGCGTGTATTGACTCACTAGTACTTTAATAATACTGCCGCTAATTAGCACTGCGTCTGGATTTGCCCCGAACATTTTAGAAGTCTTCGCTAATAAAAGATATATTTAGCAACTAGATATATAAGCAAGAACATTATTCATCTGACAATCCATCCGCTGCCTACTAACTTCCGTAGTTGTACAACACATGAATACATTCAGATCTCTGCTTGAAGGTTTGAGGGTTGTGTGTGGATCCCTTTTCTAGCGTGCCCCTGCGAGGGTCCTGTCTTTTATTAAATCAGTTAATTGAACGTACAGACACCTATTCTGGTAGTAAACTACTAAAGTTGAGTACTTGGAAGTATAAAATGGATAATACAGGCACTGTGTTCATCCATGGCTTTTGGATTCGATGGTTGTCCTGGTTTTTTCTTAAAAGAATGGATGCCATATCCGAGACGTTTTCTTAGTACTCTGTACACCGTATGTTGTCAAGTTCATGAGTCTAGTCCCTCAGACTAAGGACATTCAGGAAAGCACAGCTAGTGATTCTACGCTCTTTCCTAGGAACCTGAGTCGTACTTCAAACGGAATTAAAAGTCACCATAATAGTGTTAAATGACAAATGTATTGTTGATCTAACCTAGTGAAAGTTTATCCAAATATACTCTTTCGTCCTGATATTGTGGCTTAAACAGACGCAGTGAACCGTGGTCTTCAGATTATGACTTACTGTAACCCTCGGTCCATTAGTTGCGAACTAAGGTCAAAATGTTTCTTCAGTTTCGTAATTCCATCTGCTTTCGTGTCCAGTGTGCATGAAAACAGCCTCGTCAACAAACAATTACATTTTATACCACCATAACATGCCGCCAAGTTCGGCTCAAAGTATATATATATGTATAGTATATAAAAATTTAGTGCTACTTGTCATATTTTGACGTCTTCGCTTTAAAATATTGTGAGGGATCTGATTTATGAAAGTTCGTTAAAATTATTTATTATACACCAAAATACATGGATCTACGCAAATAGTGTCAAAGTGACTAGTCTTATTTCGTAAAGATGACTCATTTGAATCATCAGACAACGACAGAATTGTTATTTGAATTCGTGGGATAACTTTTTGTCCGGTTAGTTTGTTAGCATTTATCATTGTATCTACGTATTCATACTCGTTCTTAATATTACCTCGATTATGCTGTCTCTTTGACTATTCACGTGGCTAAGGTCTTAGCAGGTGCGTATAGCTATTGATTTAATTGCTAACACTCGTACTTAGTGTCTGAAGCAATGAAAGATACTCCTAGTACGGGTTTGTCACATTTGTACATCGAGACGGAGCATTACGCCTGGCGGTCCTCCGGACAAATTAGCAGATATTTTAGGGTCATAATGCGCGTTAAGAATGGATGTTTCTTGGCGGCTCATCGACAAAATTTAAGTCAGCGCGTTGCAGCTTGAAATGTAATGCCACCCGGTTGCCTGAACTGATGCGGGGTTGGGTTCAACCACGCGGCTCAATAGTTGCCCTGAACACTGAGTCACCACTCCACTATTCCTGTCTTTTTAGGGTGAACGACTTGTCGTATATGTCGGTTATTTTGTCTATCACACTTCAGAATCGGCTGATTTCATCTAATTACCCATCACAGTCACTATTCAGGGTATCTGTAGTCCTCAAATGTTGTTTCTGTGGTTGTGAAACATTCTAAAACTGGGGATTGCAACGATCTTCTGGTCCTGACATTTTTCATTCAACACTGAAAATTTCGACCTATTTCTGAATAGATTTTTTTCCAGTAGGAGTAATATTAGATAACTATTTACGTAAACATTGGTCACGTCTATGTATTGTATTGCTAAGTGCGAAAGATATGTGTCAGTCAAACGGGAACAACGCCAGATCACTAAGTCTGCATTTGGACTGAGGAGTACCGAAAGGTAGTTGCTTTACTGATTGTAAGTCGTCCTGATTATAGTATTAAATAGTTGGAGATCCTCACTGTCATGCCTCGAAACTTTTTCTGTTTTACTGAACTCAAGGTTCATGTTTTGTAGGTTTTTTAGCGAGGTTCTTTGTGCAGTTCTTTAAAATTTGATTATCATTTTGTTAACTTTCACTATTCTGATCTCAAGTGTTACATTTCGTGTCGATGCACACTTTCGTCAGGTCGTACGGAATTTATCACTAGTCTCCATACTTTACAGATAAGACAATAAATGTTACCGAAAACAGTTCCATAGTTTTGGGTCCATATTTCTGTATTTCCGTTATGTAAAAAATGACTGGATCTAAGTAAAGACGATTATCGTTTTACACTCTTATGTATAAACAATTAGTTATTTGTAACAGGAAATATGTCTAAAAACAAAACTTCATTAAGTGGATTCTTTTTAGGTTTATGGATCCAAACCGCATTCAACCCATGATGCTGTCTCAAGCTGGGTACATACTACCTCAACCAGGACTCAGCCTTGTCTCTCCTTTGCCTGGCGGTGCTACTGCGTATGCCCACCAACCATCATATCAAAAGTCATTATACTTTCCATTGTCGTTTGCTGGTTATAATGACCCTCAAGTTAGTGAAATGGACTTCTCCAGCTCCCAGGTCCAGAGCACTTACACTTCACCTGCCGATGTGCTGGAAAAAGACTACCAAATTGTTACTTATGAAGAGCTTGAAAAATTACTCCCAGAACCCAAACCATCTGGTCGCGTCGAGTTGGGTTTGCTTCCGAATGGGTGTGCTTATGCACCTAAAACAGCAAGTCGAGAAAATTACTTGTTATTTGCATCAAAATATAGCTATATATTGTATTTCACGTAAGTTTCTGTCAGTTTGCCTTTCTTAAAGACATAAATACCGCAAAATACGTTGTACCGTTAACAGACATATATGTTTTCACTTTAAAGCGCTCTAAAGTTAATCATTAGAAACATGTAAGTTTTTTGAAAAATGTTCTGGTGATAACTACGAATTAATAACGCCGTAAAACTGAAACATCGTCAGCTCAACAAATTATTTCAGACATGATGTCATACATCAAACTCAACAAAATCCCTTAACATAGTTTTATTCTTCTACCTCAAAATTAAACTGGTTCACATTATAAATGCCGATACAACAACCATAGCGAATATGCACTGCCATTATGAATTATTCTGTTCTCAACAGAGACCATAAATAAAGTGGTGGATGCATAAAAAACACTGGGTACGTATAGAATGAAGTATAGGATATGCGCACACTTATTTCTTGCTAGTCTACACAAGGGAAATCAATCACAGTGCTACAAAAAAGTCCGGAATCTGACGACTGTAACCGTCAAGTACAATTTAATAGCAGCCACACAATTTCTTTGTTTTAGTAATTAATAATAGACAACCTTCCTAGAGGTAAAATCTTACGGAACGCATCGACATGGTAACCATGGGTAAAGTTTTTCACACATTTAAATGTTACCACCTTGTGTTATCTCCTGCTAATTCGAGTAAGTCCGATTTAACTGCTCATCGCAATAATCCAGTTGTATTGAAAGCTTAAATACTTCGCATTTTGGTGATATTATTCCAATTTCGTAAATGGTGTTTTAATTGCATTAATATCTTGCTATTTTCTTTAAGTCATCATTATTTTTCTCGAGAAAACTTATGCCGGGATCAGACGTTCCTGAATATGCTTGTTGATCGACTGATTTTGCCAATCGAAAAGCTTGTCAAAGCTCCTCGTTTAGCAGCTCTAAATACTACTCATGAAGAAGTGGAAAAAGCCTTACTTGGCAGTAAGATTGTTTGTGTTGAAGATATGAATGCGGGAATGCGTGGTGTTCGCCGCATTGATGGTTGTAAGTTATTTTATTTACGTTAGAATTAGAGTTATTTGATTTCGTTTGCCTTTAACATTTCAGTAGTTCAAATGTAGCTGTGTGGTTTTACATACTTGACATTTCACCACTTCGTCACGGTTTCATTTATTTCCGTTTTGACAACTAGTGTAATATACAGCAGGATTAATTTAGCTTGTGGATATCACTTTTATATTTTTGACGGTATGCGCACTCAACAGCTTTTTGTTTCATAATTATGAACTACTGAACATTGTATTTCTCTTATTAGAAAAACTAATGGGTTCTTTGTTACCGGAATTAAATCGCGTTTTTATTTAAGGTTTGATTTAAGAACTTGTTTATCAAGAAACTTGTTACACCCTCATTGTCTGTTGATTTCTATTTTCCGACTTAAAAATAGGTATACCTTGTTTATCGCTTGTGTTGCATTCTTATTTCAGATCCTGGTCTGTCTACGAATCCTGATACTTCAATAAATGTGCAATCTGAGAGTGGATTATCGACTTTTACATCGTCTCAGAATTTAACCTCGTTGATTGGGTCTTTCTCTCTCCAACCACAATTGCCTGATCAACAAATTACTACCAGTCTTCAATCCGTAGTTGTGTTGAAAACTGCTGGTTCAGACAAATTCCGATCTGATGGCGTTATAAGATCTGGACACATGAATTCTGAAACAAGCAAAGAGCTTTTACAAGCAAGTACTTTAATTCAAAACCCGGTGACAACGAATGTTTGCATAGCACCTGCGTCTCATCAAATGTCCATTCCATTATTGTTACCTTTATGTGGTATCGAGAACTGCAGCAATATTCATATAGAATGTACCGGCACAGCGGGTCCTTCAGTAGCACCTTGTCGTAATACTGCTCCTTGGATATTACAACGGCCTACAAAACAGCATAATCCATATTCTCGTGTTGCACATGTGATAGTTCCTCAGTCTATAAATCAAACGAATTCTACAAATTACAATAGAAACCAACCGCTCGCGTGGGACTTTCATCAGCGCCCACATCTCCCAGCTGCGAACAGTACACATTCAAGTGTAGTACCAGTACGGCGTCAAACGCATTTGCCAAATTATTTCATTCGTCAGACAGGGAATGTTATAGAGTCATGTCCTGTCCCATTTTCAATACCACAAACAAGTAACACAAATCAACCTTTCAATCTAGCTGTAGCAGCTGCTTTAGCATCCATGAGTACAAGCACCAGTAATAGTATTAATCCAAACTACTATGGACATCAACCGCAGTATTTCCCCAACCAGTTGTTAACCAACTCTTCAAACATCAGTCCAATTGGAGCTAACCAACAACGACCATCAAATGCACTTTTGAATCACCTCCAAGCAGTAGCTGCCATGTCAGCTGTTGCACAACATTCGAATGCTACACCTTATTTTCAGAATCCTGTATCTCAAACTAATCCTTTTCATATCCCCACCCCTGTGCCATTGCCAGTGTACTACACCGCTCCACAGTTATCGTTACAATCTTCTGGTGCGCGGAACTCTTTACAGCGTTTACAACAAAATGTGTATCCGATGCAAAGCTATGGCTATCAGACAGTCCAAAACGTCCCAGTATCTGAGTCATCGGATAATCTAAGGTCAGATAGTAGATGTGGCTTAACGGTACCGAATCTCCCACAACATACAAATAACTTGATTTATCCTATACTGTTGCAACCACCCGTGCACATACAGCATAAGTTACCCACACATATGAATGGTACAGGGTGGCAGGTTCACAACCCTGGTCAGTCGATACGTGGAGCATTCAATTCAGTAGGTTTAACGCCTATACCCATTAACTTCACAGTCATTAACACTAATGGCTCTACTTCGGTAGCCAATAATGGGATGCTCAAAGAGTTACCAACGTTTTCAGACACAAAAGATAATCTTGATAACAATACAGCAGTAGATAATATGGTAAGTGATGCTGCAATAAATGTGTCTCTTGCATCTGAAAATCAATTGGATAGTGGATCGTCTGTGTTACCAGGGTTAATTTCATCTACTGAAAATTTTACATGCGCAGTTATTGGCGACAATCAGTCTCATAAGCTTCCCAAACAAGTTGAAAAAATGACCTCTCCTGGTTCGGTTCATGATTCTGAGGATTCAGTTAGTTCTGGGATAGGAGACATGACTGCCACTAGCACTGGTGATAATGACAGTCGTAACAATTCGTCGTGCACACCAACCGAACCAACTCGTATTATTCCGAAATCTGACTACGTACGAAACAAGTCTTCAACACGAATTAAAGAAAAACTTACTGGTACATGAGTCTCCGAAATGATGAAATTCATAATTTTGTATTATCATTCACTGAAGCTACAAGTGATCATCCAATATCATGCAGTCATTTGTTTCAAGTAATTTTACACAGCTTACTGGATAGACTAGTAAAGGAAACTCATAAGCAGAACATATATTGTGCTTACCAGTTATCTTTTTCACCATTATAATTAAAGCGACGGAAATAGAAACAAAGAACCATAACTACTGGCCGTTTCATCCTGCATATTCACGAACCACCGTTCCGGTCACAGTTACGCTGTTCATTTTCATTACAAATGCTTTATTTTAAGTCGGAAAATACTGTGATTAGAATTCGCGTTACAGCCACTCCTATATGGTGTCTAAACTGCCTTTTCTTTCATTTTGAAGATTTCTTAGTTACTGTTTTTATTCCACCCTGTTTGTATATATGATTTATTGTCAGTACATACGTATCTATATACCACCGCTTTACTTCAAGCTTCCTTAAGTGTTATCATTTTGCGAGGTATACTGCACAATTTACATTTCCCCATGCAAAAGAGAAACCAATTATCCTACCTCACTATATACGTATATCCCAGAAAATCTCCAGATAAGCGCCTTAGGTCTAGATTTTCGTAGTTATATGCAACTAGGAGTTTAAAGGATTAGAACTATACCGAAATCAAACTATTTGTTTTTCATTGACTTTCTAATTACAAACAAGCTGAGATTTTTTCCTTATCCGTGCTCTCCCTGAGACTTATTAATTTAAGCTGCTAAAGCACCTTGATTTTCCATTAAACTGTTTATTTTGAGATATTTTCTTCCTTATAGTGTTACCTTGCAAATCTTAAAAATAACTTCTTGGTTTCAAAGTTATGCAAGATCTTTCATGAGTGAATAGATGTGCATTTTCTTATTGCGAAGCAAATCATTTTGTGAAGTATAAATAAATGGGATTTCGATAGAAATCTAGACTTTTTATTTATTATGTTTACAATTTTTTGGTGTGTGCTGCAGTCGTTTAAACAGGCATACAATTGTCTTTAGAGTGTCAAAATCAGGTAACCGGGCTCGTACGAAGATCATTGTGGATAATTAACCAAGGTTTTCGTTACTCGAGTTTGAATAAGACGTGGGATCATACAGCGGGAAAGATGGTATTTTAACATCTAAACTAGTACCATTGTGTTTTTCAAACCGAAACGTTCCCCACATGTGGGCCCACTCCACGGGGAAGTGGATATGGCTGTGATACTGAAAAACTGGACATTCTGGAGAAAGAACAGGTTGCTGAAATTTGAAGGAAAAGTAAATCAGAGTATGCGAAAATTGCACCGTACTTACCATCCCTACAACTCCTTTTCCTCCGATTGACTCAAGGTTTCCGGATATTGAGAAAATTTTCAAAAAGCGCTCACGAAGTTGAACGCGGTCCATCATGAGGTTTTCTAATCGGATTAAATAGCGCCACTTTCAAATATAAAAGAAATTAGGAAATATGTCATTTCGTATGATGTTAGTGTAGTGTGGTTTTCGAGATTAATAAATGTAATTTGTACATAAAGTATACTAGATAATTAACCTTACCCGGTTACTAACCCTTCTCTTTTCTACAAAATATGAGGATTCTACGCAACCTCTGTGACCATGAAAAACGTAATTCTGATTACCGTCGCCCAGTGACAGATCATCAGAAACGGTTCTTAAAAATAGGTTTCAAGGGAACCGTAGCTGACTACACGCTGAATAGTTTTGAGTTTTATTCTGTGTAAGGTTATTTAAAGAAACCGTGGCAACAATTGTCGACCCACAAACATGGGAAATGTAGTTACTCTTAAAAGTAATTATCCAAACCTTATAAGGTAGTCTGGCTGACTAAAAAGGCGTATCTTTATTTTAACTACAGATAAAACTTCAGCAATAATAATACATGATAACGTCGGTATGCATGTTGACCACAAATTCAGTCAGCGAATTAAATCGTATTATCTCAGCTCTGCGTGGGTCAAAGATTCTCGTATCTTATATCACGCTCCTCGTCGTGTGGGTCTGTTTTGCTGAACACAGTCGTTAGTCGATTTAGGGTTAGTCATGGTATAATTACATTTTTAATCCGTGTTGTATTCAGTGAGCAACATTTGTTACTTACATGCAAATGTCATTATTTAAAAGAACGCGGTAGCCAGTGTCAACACAATACTGGATTACATCGTGATTACAGTCACTCACACTTACGCGGTTTTTTGAGTCACTAAGTATTATTTTCTACTGTATTAGTTTAGTAGTTCGACACATTCCAAGGGATGTAGTTTGATTTTTTTCTGTAGTTCAGTCGGTAATTTTTGACATAAGTGAAATCAATTTCGATGTTTTGAGTACTGCACAAATGAATTAATTTCCCTACTAGACTCAGTAATAGTGGTTACTAATAAGGGCGACTATCAAAAAGGCACATACTATTAAGGGTGAGGATTGAAAGAGGAAATAGAACCCATTCCAACGAGTGGAAAAATTGTATTTCTGACATTTCGTAAACAAATAACCGAAATAAAAATCCTTAAGGTTGTGAATTCTATTCGATCTACTTTGTTCTTTTGCCCTAATGACCAAAAATGTAGATCTTTAAAAGAAGAGTAGAAAGATGATGCTCGACATTTCTCATTATGTATATTCCTGAAAATATCGTCCTTCGTCCTATTCAGTGAGACCTAGTGAACTATTATTCTGTATATTATTGAAATCCGTGATAATGGTAGTCAATTGACTAGGTTTCATTTAATATTAATTAGATGAACAGGTGGAACTTATTATGCGGACCTGATGCTATTATTATTATTACTAAGTAGCATATGATTGTTAGTTATTTGTGTGAGCCAAATTATCATTTTTTTCAGTTAAAACAATGCTGAGATTTACGCTTGACAAGCTAAAACATTAAAAAAATTATTAGTCTTAAATCACAAATCCAACTACGCTACAATATATTATAGATGATTTCGTTGCAGAGGCGTTAGCGGTTCGTTTCGATTCTGAGCTATGACTGCAAGCTGTCATTATACCACGACTCAAACACCTAATTTCTTATACACATTCGATTATTTACAGAAACTTTATTCTGATTTTTTTAAAATCTATTCATCTTTCTTATATTCCTTAAGTGGATATTCGGTTTTATCATTTACTTTTCGATTATTACGCAACCTCGTTTTGACCTCGAAATTAGCTACCAATCAAACTTTTCGACAGGCAACGCGGGTTAACAGGCGTAAGTAAGCAGTACAAACTCCCCACACTGATAACTCAGCCTGAAAGGGTGATTTATCAATACAATATAATAATTATAGATATATTAACTGACTAAATATGGTTGATCAGTAGGGAGGAACGTCAATCGAATGTAGATGTAAACGCTACATACATTATAAAACTTTTGTAACGCAGTTTAACAACGGAAGTGTAGACGTCCCACAGTGTGACTTCGGAAATTGGTTGGCCGTGGCCACCATATCTTACTGATCTCTTGACACAGGTGTCTTCAAAGTAGTTCGTTAACCCTGACTTCTTTTTCGTTCTCTATAGAGAACTGTAATTTCATCAAACTATCAAATCCAGGTATGACATCTTCGACTGGTATAAAAGCTAACACTGCCAAATTACGAGTCTACATGGCAAAATTTTTACCTATCATGCAACGTTGCTGAACGTTCGCTGATTGTTGAAGTTTTCGCCATATACACTGGCTCAGTTGGGAGAGACAACCTTGTTGTATTGCGTTTGGATATATTTGTCGAAATGTTCAATGTTCGTAGACAGTCATGATAGCTGACGTATGTAGTTCGTTTAGTTTGTTAAATATGTGCGCATACGAATCCCTACTTCCGTCACTCAAAACATAAACCAATGGAAAGATCGTAACAGATTTAAAAGAATGAATTGCGTATAGCTGATCAAATAAAAGTGGTGAGATCTTGAATGTCCCATCAGTATACTAATAAGGGCACTGTTCCAACAATTCCAGTATCGAAATCCTATTTTCTGTCGGTAGGTAATTCCCTCCCCTAACAGTCGCCCTATACTCAGAGGGTAAATTTAGCCTTATCAAGGGACTTGGATTTGGTAAAGGCGCCTGGTTTTTATCTCGTACACGCTGAAAGTTGAGTTGATACTACATAAGACAAACCGGTTGACACTGTAGTCATTATTTGATGTGGGAGCTTGGCGAAGAAGCTACTTAATCTTTTGTTGTTGATTGTCTTTTTAGCATTTATATTAGCTTTATCTGGAATGACTTCGCTTCGTCGGACATTTTGTAATGAATTCACACGTCGTAATACTGCGCGACCTACACTTTGCGATACAATAATCCGTACATGTCCAAATATTCTTGTTGTTAACTACTTTCTCTTTTCTGAAGGTGTAGCCACATACTATTAAGAAGTTTGAGCCTTTATTGCACTTCATTTATCCCAATTTCGTTCCAATGAAGTGTAGAAAATATGACCTAGGGTGTAACCCATCAGCCTAATGTACAATTGTTTCATTTTGAGCTGTAATCAAAGATTTCGAAACAAATAGACACATATTCATTATATATACCATTTCCACTGTAGATGCTGTTCATTAAGTCGATTACTATCATATTTTACGGTCATCTGAAATGACCTAACAAACACTTTCACTTGATGTGTTACATCTGTCTGGCTCCAACAACGTGGTGCATTGTTGATTACACGAACCTGTACTTGAATACTGGACTTAATTTTTGTTACTACAAATTACATTGGGGTAAAAGCTGTGAGGTGTAGTTTGTTTCAATGATTTAACCTAAAGTTCCCCATAAAAATTACAAGAGTGAATAAAAAAAGTCTAATTCCTGATCATATTCATGCTCCACTGGGATTCGAAGACCATCTACACATCGGTGAAAGATCGTCAGAGATAGCAGAGAACCATGAGCCTAGATTTCGTGCGAGTTGAGACTCGTCGGCAAGACAGCTGGGATCTTGAGGGAATTGGTTCTTATCGTATGATGTAAGCCATTTTCGCAGTATGAAACATTACAACCGAGGCTTTCGGGCTGCGAATGCCCCTCTTCAGGACTGAGATAAATAGATTGATTGGTTATTCAGTGGTGAACTGTTGTGCTTGTCTAGACCTTGGAGATAGTCGGATTCTCTTGAAATTAGATACGTCTTGCTGACGAGTGCAACCTAACATGAAATCTACGTGTAGGTTTTTCTACCGAGTACCTCCAACCACCTTTCATAATACTCTAGCACACGCGATGTTCAGTCACGTAAAATAATAAACATTGCCACATGGTCAATAGAATACAATGAGCACTAAGTACTAGCTGAAAGTGACAATTCTTACCGCTTAGTGATTAATCAATTTAATTATCTAGGTGTCCTAACAGTAAACTGCCTTTTTCTGATCTTTTATCTTTCGAGAGCTGTTCACCGTAAAATTTACATTTTAAATACTGAATATTAAGGAACGGCATAGTTTTGAAAAACAAACTTACGTAGCGTACATCATTTTCTTTTCTATCCTGAAAGAAAAAGAAACTTTTTTATAACAAACAATAGAGGATAGATTGGGCTACATAAAATATATATTTAATAACTTACCTCTGTTACTCGACGGCCCATGTAAAAAGGCATTACTGTCGTTTGAATACCTTCGGTCACTTCGCGATGTATCGATGTAACTTCTAGACTTTGCTTTCGCGCCTCAATCCAGCGTCTTAAATGATCGGTTGGAATAAATGGTGGATCTTTTGTAAGAGAATATTTACAAACATTCATAATCTTAACAGATACAATATTTCATGAAACTAAACAGTCAAACAATCGGACAGAGATAAATAATTTAGAAGGTAAGATTTTCTTAAAATACTAAGTACTTTTATGCTTAATATTTTATCGCACACTGAAAATGTAGGAGAACGAGACAGTTTCGCTTTTATATAATCAATTTATTATCCAACTCTGCTTATAATCTTTAAATATTTTAAGCTGAATTCGAGTTCTGCTGAACTTAAATTAATCTGAATGGTTTAAATCAAATAAAATGATAGAAGTAACAAAAACTAGGCTTTAAAGAGATATTATCAGAAGGGGTTTGTGGAGATTTTAGAAATTTTCACAGATTTAAATCATGAGTCAGTTGAAGCTAGACCACCATTGAAAACCTGACTCATGATTTAAATCTGTTTAAAGAGATATCACAGAAACCATGGTCGTTTTCAAGTTTGAGTTATAACGTGGATGCTTTTCTAAAACCAAATAAGACTAAGTCCTTTTACATTTTAATACAACGACAATATACTTTCGAAATTGAAAAGGATGTATTTGTTTCGAATGTTTGGTCGAAGAACAGTTGCAGATTAATTTGGCTTTCGTAACATGTTGCAGATCGGGGATTAAGTTGCAATTCTCTATATTTAGTTATTTAATGATCACAGAGATGTGCACAGTTTGTTGCTACGTATCTTCATTGGCTTGAAAAAACCCCAGACTATATAGAGTATGCACAACAGTTACGAGTAGAATTTTCTAGCTGCAAATAATTTTCTTTACTTAGTGACTTCACCCTACTTTCGTTTCTCAATTTATGATTCAAATGAGTGAAATTAAATAGGGTACATGTGACAATGTCTAATTTAAGATTTAATCTATATTAAGGGACTAACAAAACATTAATCGTAACAATCTATTTGTGGGAAATATCCGACAAACCGATATAATTAAACAAACCTTTATGATACTGAGTGAGTATAATGTCTGTTTAAGCTGACAGATCCACTCAAGGAACTGTACAAACGCGTCAGTTAAGTTTTGCGACGAGATTTTACAAATCTTTTAACATTTCCAAAGTTACTTTATATTTACACAACTGTCTTTTTCATGTCGGTTAGGGCTGTTATTTGTCCTACTTATCCGATAAATTACACAGCAACATTTAGTATGTACAGATTAGTTCAAATGATTCTGATAACTTTGGACTACTGCGCTAATTAAGTCATTTCTGATTTTAGAAACAAAGGAATATCATGGGTATCCATGTTTTAACTGGTTTTTTCATTGATGTTATACAGAAGGCCTCCACACAACCAATACCTGGACTTGGTGGAAAAGGAAGTCAGGCCAGTTTGTGATAAGACGCCACAGAATGAAAGTTTATTGTACAAAACTGTGACCCGTCGATCATTTTCAACTCTCTGGTTACTGCTCTAGAGTCATTGAAGTATTAAAAAATTAGACATCTAAGAGAAGTCATACAATTTAACTTTCATTATAGTAGAAGTTGTATATTCTGTGAAATAGCATTATTTCGTAATCGATACAGTCAATTACTTTCTAGATAGTTGAAACAGATAAGACGAGTTGTGCATGCATAAAAAATAAAGGAATATAGAAAAATCGGTGCCGAATGACAAATCATTAAAAACTATTATTACTTTAACACCTTGTAAGAATTACCTTTGTCTGGAGTAGAAAGCAAGAATTCACTAAAATATTGATTTTTAATTGGCGAAACATCCTGCGGAACGTAAGGTATGATATCATCATGGAAAACATAGTCCATTTCTGTAGATGTTAATTTGTAATTCAAACAAACCTGACACGATATATATGGCATTAAATGCTCGTTTATCATCAGGTAAAAAAGTAATACCATGTTTTAAAGCAGAATTCTAGAAACTAGAGCTCAAAAACTAGACCATCGTACACAAATTTCAGTGTCGCTTTGATCCGTTAGAACTTGGTAAACATTTGTTTCAGATCCTTCTCCCTTTGGAGATTCATGAGACGTCAATTCTCTAAATCAGATTAGCAAACAGTAAAGTAAACATACATTGATTTCGTAGATTGTAGATTACGATCGAACAGCTTTCCCTTCCAACGCTGTAGCACAATGCCACGATAACCAAATTTCTTGTGTAAGAATATTTGACCAGGCTCATATAAAGATTCAGAGGCCTTTTGCAGGTGACCAATTAGTTCTAATCTGTGGTTGAACATTAAAGAATCCAAGTTAACCTACTTAATTGGGCGACTGGGAGAAAGTAGATACCTTCTGATTATGAATTCAGGAGCACGGAGACCAAAGGTTGGTATCAAACCAATACCAAGTTTATTTGTTAAACAAGCAGCTAGCATTGAATATAATTGTTTAGGAGGGAACGGTTAATGTCTGCCGGGCCTGTCAGTTTCAGCTCTTTCTAAAATACCATTATGGTTATTAACGATGTAAACATCAGTCAATGGTGTGCAAAACACAGATAGGCGGACTACAATAATGAGACAAACAGATATAGATTAGTAATAGTTCCAAGAAGCGAAACTTGATTTAAACACCCACCACACTGTTAGGAGGAGACAAAAGGATAGGCAGCAATACATGAGAAGTGATTGAGAATTAGGTTAAGGCGACCAACAAAATCATCCAATACCAAATAAAATTTTACGGGGGGATATGAAGCTTTATCCATTCCCAACGGCTGGCCAAACTACTGTAGGAGTAGGTTGATAAGATCAGACGAAAATATAGGAGTATTGTATGAAAACGTTCAGTAATTAACTGAGTATTACGGTAATTAGCGGTTATAGTAACTGAAGACATTTGGTGTGAGTTTCGTTACAGCACAATCAGACGATACTTATATCCAGCTCTCAAACGTTGTATTCGGGAGTCGATACCTATTGGAAGGGACGATATGTGATCGTAGCCAAAGACTAACAGGTGCGAGTCTACTAAGCTGATTAGCTAGACGTTGGGAAGTGTTCTGACAAGCAAGCAAGCTCAACTTATGGGTATTTTGCCTTACATATATAGAAAATACATAACATAATCGGGAGTTTCTAGTATTTTGCGTGTAAATGTTTCTTGGGACGAACTTGATCTCTCAGCTGACCGAAGCGAATTGGTTAGATGGTGCAAAGGTAGGGTCTTATTAATCAATTCTATGAAATATGATAATGCACATTGAACCCAGCAAGTTACCAGTATATCGCTAACTGTACATCGCTCCCACGTGTGCAGGAACAAAAAAACAGGAGTAACACTAATTCATGACTTAAAAGCAACTGTAGAGTGCAGCGCAGCGGCCGCCAAATGATTTCGAGCTGGATGGTCACTTCACTGAGAATTCAAATGCTTTGACGAGATGTCCCAGCTTTTACGCTCCACCTATGTAAGACGACACTTAAAGTACCACATTCAAGCAGCTGGTCCATATCATATTGAAGATGCTGACACTCGGGTGTGTTCAGCTCTAGAGAGCAAAGTTAAGGGTCTTCCCAAACCCCCCAACGATGAATGCCTGAAACACATGAATTTTTACACCTCACCGTACCATAGAACGCGAGGTGACCTTAGATTAGCATTCCGTATCCTTAATAACGAGGTCATAGCAGGAAGGTTCAAAAAACGACAATCAAATAAACCAAGAGTGAGGTACCGTTTTTCTTCATCGAGTAGTCAGTGATAGGAACACCCTACCCGGATACGTGGTATCAGCCCCGTCGATGGGGCTGGTACCATTGATACCCATGGATTAACTACTGTGACGATGCATTCCGGTTTTAATACTGACAGCAGAATTCACAATTCTAAGCAAATAAATATATACTGCGAGGGTGTCCCACGAGGAAAAACCCAAATACACAGGCAGTTTGAAGCACGTACTACTAGCGTTTACTTGCAAGCACGAGCGATCTGAAACACAACACAACTGTCAGGACCGGTAAATGCCACTGAAGTAAGAACGCGGCGTACTGGCACAACAGTAATATATTGAGAAATTGAAAGACGCGGTTCGAGTACAAAACGGGAAGCTTATTACAAAATGGGTTTATTCATTGTTCTGCTTGCGTAAGACTCGTTTTTCTTCTTCTAGTACGTTAACTCTTCGTTGCCCAGCAATAAGGAAAACAAACTTATATTAGTAACGTCACATGTACTGATTCTTAATACCGTTATAAGTTGTCAGTTGAATTTTCGCGCCAAATCCCAATTCGCATTCTGATTTGTTCATTTTCATAAGCACAAAAGTTGCAGTCAATTCCATGTTAACTGACGATTATTGCAATCGTTTTTCATTTCAATCGACTCATTATTATTTGTTTCAATCTTTCACAATTCCATAGTTTAGTCAAGTACTACTGACTTCGAATTCGCTATTAATTGTACATTAACTCGTTCTATTTGATAATGTCCTACGTATGCACTGAGATCACCTATTTCTAACCATAATCTGGAAACTATGAATAATTTATTGTAAGCAACATTACTAAAAATTATTACTTCTACCAAGCATTAATGGATTATCACTTCATATATATATATAAATTTTTACTTTCATATGTATTTTGGACACATGTACCTTGTGGAGATATGACTGACAAGCTTATTTTGTAAATAGTTTTTAACATTATTTGTATTTGTTTTGTCAATTTCTCACTGTATGTACATTTATCATTAAATGACTGTACGTGTTGTTTTAGTCAATGACCTTGAACACTTTTTTCCATTGTAATTCTAACATAGCGTGACACACATTTTCGGTTGTTCACAAATACACTATTACGCACATACCCATTGTTCTATTCTCGCTCGTTACCAAGTCAATTGCGTTCTAAACTAGATATTATCCTCATTTCAGACTGCAGTGTCATTCCCATTATATCCTACATCAAAGAAACTTATTGGCGTCATATTTACCTCTGTGGAATTATTACGCAGCGACACCAATGGTGAGAAATCACGTCGTTGCACAAAACCATGCAACTTCACAACAAGCAAGTCGGACCATCAGGGAAACGAAGTGGCCAGACAGTAATAGCGGCAGCTGTTACTGGCCAACATGTCAGCCGCCTCTTCCACATCAGATATCGTATTTCTGGCTCAGACTTTTTAGTCGATACGGGAGCAGAAATCAGCATCATCCCACTCCATCTCTCACGCAGACAACATACGACAAGCACTAAATTGTCCTTGGTAGCGGCTAACGAATCAGTTATCAAAACCTATGGAGAACAATCTCTTATATTTGATCTCGGGCTCCGCAGAAGATTCACATGGGTATTCATAGTTGCTCAAGTCAAACGACCCATCCTCGGGGCCGATTTTCTTAGTGCGTACAACCTGTTAGTTGATATGAACAACAAGAGATTAATCGACGTAAATACACGTTTACAGGTAAATGGTACACTCTCCAACGACAACGAGATCCATGGGTTTAGAATAATGAAACCTGTGAAAAACATCTTCAACGACATTCTAACAGAATACCAGTGCATTACGAAATCAGATTACCAAAAGGAAGGTAACCCACAGCTGGTACAACACCATATCACTACCACCGGACCACCTATTAACGTCAGGGCGAGGTGACTACCACCAAGCAAGTTGCGAGTAGCTAAAAGAGAATTCCAACATATGATGCAACTTGGTATTATCAGACCATCCAACAGCCCCTGGGCCTCGCCGTTACACATGTAACCAAAGAAGGACCAAGATTGGTGTCCGTGTGGTGACTATCGACGATTAAACAATCAAACCATTGCTGACAAGTACTCGATTCCGCATATACACGATTTTTCATTAAACCTACACGGTAAATGCATTTTTTCGAAGCTCGACCTAGTGCGAGCATATCACCAAATTCCAATGGCACCGGAAGACATTGAGAAAACAGCCATAATAACACCTTTTGGTTTGTTTGAGTTTCTAAGGATGCCATTCGGATTAAAAACGCTGCGCAGACATTCCAACGCTTCATGGATAACGTAACAAGAGGCCTTGATTTCGTGTTTGCCTACATCGACGATGTTCTGATTGCAACCTCATCTTTAGAAGAGCATATCCAACATGTCCAGACCCTTTTTGATCGTTTTAGAAAACATGGCGTCGTCATCGATCCTTCTAAATGTATATTCGCTGTCCCAGCCTTAGAGTTTTTAGGACATTACATTGACTCTCAAGGCATCAAACCACTCCCAGGAAAGGTTGAAGCTATTACCAATTACCCCGAACCAACCTCGGTGAAGTCATTACGACGCTTCCTCGGTATGTGTAATTTTTATCGCCGTTTCTTAACACATTGTGCTGAAGTATTACAGCCATTAACCGATCTGCTGAAAGCCGACAAAAAAGGTACGAAGAGAGAGAAGAGTCAGACATTCAACCTACCCCCTGACGCCAAAACAGCATTCGAGAGAGCAAAATTGATGATATCTAATGCTACCATTCTACAGCACCTAAACACCGATCCCACAACAAACCTTATAACAGCTAAGGTTGGTTGGTTCAGAGTTGACCCCAAACAACCAAGCATATGCCAAAACAGTATTGTTCAAGTATTCATTCACTTCCTTGTTTTGTATAAGCGTTATATTCCCTATTATCTTATATTGAATGTTGAGAGCCTTTGTTTGTCTGAACAGATAATCCCACGCTCCACTGTCACCGCGCGAAGATCGAAATAAAGACCTATTCACTACTTCTCTGGTTTCTTCTATCAATAGCACGAGGGTTACCTTAAGGCACGAAACTGGTGAGCCCTTTTGAACACAAATTTAACTTTATTTCTGTTATTAACATTATCTTTTTACTTAATCGTAAAAGTAGACCTGATTATCTGTAAACTAAGTTGTGTATATAAATAGTTTATTCCGTATTATCTTAAGTTATTCGTGTTATAGTAACCATTTTTTGTGCTAACTTTATTGCTATATTTGTCACATACCTCATGTCAGACTCAATAGAAACCCATAATCTGGAGGATTTGTCACCAGTGGAGATAGACACTGTTATGACTACGAAATCCCGACTTCCAGAATTTGATCGTAGTGATCCTGAGTTGTGGTTTGCTCAACTAGAGCATTATTTCACGAGACACAATATCAAATCTGAAGGGACTCGCTATCGAGACTTGTGTTCTATCCTTCCTCCTTCAGTCGCCAAAGAAGTCCGTGACTTGATTTTAGATCCACCATCACCACAACCATACACCATCTTAAGACGAGAGATAATGAACCGTTTATCATTATCAGATAGTCAAAGAATTCAAAGACTTTTTCAAGGTGAAACACTAGGTGATCGGTCGCCGTCACAGTTTTTACGTCACCTCCAAGTCTTAGTGTGTGATAACACAGTGAGTGAAGCAGTCCTAAAACAAGGATGGATACAAGCCCTCCCATGCTACGTCCAACACTGTTTGGATGCACAGGATCCTGAAACCTCATTATCTCATTTAGCGCGTATAGCCGATAGAATAATGGAAAGAGGTCCTCCAACTGGATCAGGCACAATAAATCACACACAAAAAGTAGAATCAGCAAAAGACCCCGTAATAGAAGGACTCATTGCGAGTGTTAAGAGTCTCACTGAGGCTGTCACCAGAATGCAAAGGGGTCATAGAAATAGGAGCAGGTCACCACAACGACCACGATCCAAGTCACAAAACAGGTCACAAATGTCTAGACAATCTGGGCAGTTTTGTTGGTACCACTGGAAGTTTGGTGTCAACTCAACCAAGTGCATGCAACCATGCGCCTGGCCTAAGCATAATTCTAAGACAGCGGCAAACGAGTAACTCCTCCTCAGGTCGCGACGACTTAGGAGGGGCGCCTAAACAGTCGCTTGTTTTATGTTAGAGACAGAAACTCTGGCTTGAATTTCTTGGTGGATACTGGCGCTGCTCTTAGCATCATCCCTCGAAATAAAACTGAGATTAGTCGAGAAACATCATCAATTACACTTCAAGCTGCAAATAAAACTAAAATTGCGACATTTGGGCAGAAAACTTTAACCCTAGATTTGGGGTTCAGGAGGTAATTCCCTTGGGTTTTCACGGTAGTCGACATAGATCTGGCAATACTGGGGATGGACTTTCTAGAGAGATACGAATTTCTAGTTGACGCCAAGAAACGGCGATTAACACTGAAAGAAACTTCTAATTACACAAAAGGCAAAGAAAGTCACATCAGATCTCTTGACTTGATTCAAACTCCTCCAGTAACAACAGCGAAATTCCAAGATATACTCGCGGAATTTCCAAGCTTAACTAAACCAAACCCACAGCCTTCTAAAGACAAACTAAAAGTGAGTCACACTATCAAAACCGAAGGTGCACCGGTGTTTGCAAAACCCAGGAGACTAGCACCAGATAAGCTCAAAATCGCTAGGGCCGAGTTTGATTATATGCTACAGCTGGGTATCATCCGTCCCTTTAATAGTCAATGGGCATCCCCTTTGCATATGGTCCCAAAGAAGAATGAAGGTGACTGGCGACCGTGCGGGGATTACAGAGCCCTAAACCGTCAAACCGTACCAGATAGGTACCCAATACCTCATATCCAAGATTTCACCGACGGTTTACATGGTATGAACATATTCACTAAAATTGACTTAGTCAGGGTATATCACATTATACCGGTGGCTGATGAAGACATCCCCAAGACAGCTATTACTACACCCTTTGGCTTATTCGAGTTTGTACGCATGCCATTCGGCCTGAGAAATGCGGCACAGACATTTCAAAGATTCATAGATAACCTACTTCGAGATATGCCATTTGCGCAGGGGTATATAGACGACTTGTTAATTGCCAGCCCCGATTTGCAATCACATGAACAGCATGTACAAGCAGTGTTGAAAAGACTGGATGAACATGGAATAAACATACATCAAAGTAAGTGTGTTTTCGGTGTTCAAACTTTAGGATTTCTCGGTCACACAATAAGCCCAGAAGGGATTAAACCTATCAAAAAAGAAGTGGATACTATCAAACAATACCCCGTACCTAGTTCTCTAACACAACTGAGAAGTTTTCTAGGCCTAATTAACTTCTATCGCAGATTCATACCAGGTTGTGCACAATTAATGCAACCTTTGACAGATTCACTTAAAGGAAAACCAAAAGAATTCAAACTGTCTTCTGACGCCATCGAAGCTATTAAACAGCTTAAAGATAAACTGACTCAAACAACTGCGTTGATATATCCGAATTCTCTTTCC